GTTTCTAGCGACATCAGCATTTAACAAAGAAATTAACAGAAAAATTGACGGAGGCCTGACATTGTCACAAATTCGTAAGATGAGGTATGACATTGTCATTTTAAAAAGATGAGGTATGATAGTGTCTTTCAACTTATAATTGAGGTAATTTTGTGTAATTTACCCCATATTTAATTATGAAATAAGTATCTAATTTCCGATGGCATGCATGATATTATCTAATTTCTGATGGCATGATCCCTAATAGATAATAAACATAATTAGCAAAGTTAATTAACATACTAAGAGTCTTTGCATGATAGTGTAGCTTCAAAACCCGTTGGTGACTGATCTAACAAACCCTATCGCTTGACCAAAAAAAAAAAAAAAAAAAAAAGTAACTTACTAAGAGCACAGAATCTCTGGCAGCTATGGCTAGTATATCAGCACACGACACAACTCCACTACATGAGCTCTCCACAGAGCTCTTGATTCTGTCAACAACTTCAAATCCTCTTGCTGAATTCAAATTTGGTCCGGCATCCTTCTCACTGCCAGTTCCATCCAGTAGTAGTGACGCATCACAACCCTACACATGTACATGAAAGGGAGATCATTTAAAATTGGGAGGCCTATGAGCTGCAAATAAAAATTGTGATGCAACCAAAAACAAAATCATTATCAAATGGATCCTTAAGAACTCACATTCACAAAGCAGTCATGGAAGTGAAGCCGAAGCAAAGAAGCAGCCATTCGCATTTCAGACTTGACAGCATTCTGAACCTCTCTTCGGACAATTTTGAAAAGATCCGGACATGTTGCCTTGTAGAAATCTGTACTTAATTGGGCTTTCGCAACAAAACAAAAGGCAAAGAACGGGATAAGTACCAAAGAGTAACGACGGCTAAAATTAATCGGTGACCTTGTCATGGTAACTTAAGGGATGACACACTTAATGCTAACAATATGGTTAAGGGCTACTTAAGTTGTATGAGACATTCCTTGAACTCCATTTATAGCCACGATTAAGCGTAAAACAACAATCTTTTAATCAACAATAGAGTAGTGTATAATTTTGTTTATCTAGTTGAAAACTAGCTGGCTAGTGCTTATGATGTATGGCGGCAGTGTAAGCAGTAATATAAAGAATCAAACTGCAACTGCCTAGCAAACCAACACGACACTAGGATTACCATAAACATATACGCATCAGCAACTGAAAGACCATCCGTGCAGTGCAAGAAATCAACTTACCTGGAGGTATCGCCATTCTGAGATCAACAGATGAAGTCTTCTACTTCCAACACTCGTTAATGCTCCTCTCTAAGTGAATAGGGTTTTAGATCTTTTTGGAAGCCTTAGTGTGGAAGCAGGGACCTCAACTATTTATACAATCATTCATCGATAGAAATCTACTCAGTCCAGCCTATTAACAGAAGGAGTGTTGATCTCTATCTCTAAGAGTTTTAGTCCCATCATGACTTGATATACTAGTGTATATCAGATAAGGATCAAAACTAGGACAGCTGCAATACATGTAACTCCATGACTCTTATCGCATTAGGGCTCTCAAACTTCCCGTGTTTCACATAACCAGTATAACCAGTTATGCGCCACACAAGTAGTTCAGTTGTGATCTCATTGTCATTCAAACAAGGTTTTACATTCTCCCACTTGAATGTCAATGATATGCCTCAACACAATAAGAATCACGATGATCATTGAGTTCACAAACAAAATCTGCAACTGATCCTACTCAGTGACTTGTCATTTTCAAGAAAAATATAGGACCACAGAAAACAAAGCACGCATTGCTTGCACTTTGCACTCTGTGATCACATACATATTTATCATGAAAACACTATGCCACCTTTACGAGTCATGATGTTGAGAACTGATAATTTGTACCGTCAGATATCAGTTCCACATAACAAACTGAAATGATTCCAGTACCAAAGTCGTTTGTCAAAGCACAATCAGCTATTCAAACAAGTCAATAATAATTAACAACTGTCGACAATAACAATAAAGATAACTGCAATAAAACCTACGTAGTTCATGGAGAGCTTACTCCCACTCATCAACAGAATCAAAGAGTTCTCTCACTCCCATGTTGAAGACATGTTTCTTGAAGACTCCCACTGGTAAGGCCTTTGTCATCGGGTCAGCTACCATTAAGCTTGTGTGGATGTACTCAATTTCGACAGTCTCCTTCTTCACTTCATCTCTCACTTTTAAGTACTTAATATCCATCAATCTACTAGCATATGACCTTTTGTTATTCTTTGAAAAGAAAACTGCAGCTTTGTTGTCACAATACAACTTGAGGGGCTTGTCAACATTGTCAACGATTTCCAATCCTCTCACCATGTTTTTAAGCCAAACAGCTTGTTGAGTTGCTGCATAGCACCCTATAAACTCAGCTTCCATGGTTGACGATGCAATACTCTTCTGTTTTGCACTTTTCCACGATACTGCACCGTTAGCCAACATAAAAATGTAACCATTCGTCGATTTTCTGTCGTCCACACATCCTGCCAAGTCTGAATCTGTGAATCCCACCAACTCCAGCTTGTCCACATAACTGTAAGTTAACATGAAATCTCTTGTTCTTTTAAGATACCTCAGTACCTTTTTCGCTGCAACCCAATGTGTTGTACCAGGATTTGATTGAAACCTTCCTAGTACACTTACTGCAAAAGCCAGGTCCGGTCTTGTGCATACCTGGGCATACATAAGGCTCCCTACAAGAGATGCGTAGGGCTTATCCCTCATTCCTTCCTTCTCTAATTCATTTTTGGGACATTGATCACTGCTCAGTTTGTCTCCTTTGCCAATAGGCAATTCTCCATTCGAACACTTGTCCATATTGAATCTTTTAGTGACTCTGTCGATATACTGCCTTTGGGAGAGACCAAGAGACTTCTTAGCACGATCTCTTACAATTTCTATTCCCAAAACGAATCGAGCTTCCCCCAAGTCCTTCATGTCAAAGTTTTGAATGAGCATACTCTTAGTTGTCTGTAGTAGAGACATATCGGAGCTAGCTAATAATATATCGTCCACATACAACACTAAGAATATAACCTTTGACCCAAGAACTTTCAAATAAATACACTCATCCATTTTGTTTTCTTGAAAACCTGAAGCTGCCATTACCTGATCAAATTTCTTATTCCATTGCCTCGAGGCTTGTTTTAAGCCGTATATAGACTTATTCAACTTGCAAACCATCGTTTCTTTCCCCCTTTCAACAAATCCAGGTGCTTGTTGCATGTATATATCTTCTTCAAGGTCTCCATTCAGAAATGCCGTCTTGACATCCATTTGGTGAAGCTCTAAATCAAAGTGTGCCGTGATAGCTAGGATTATTCTCATGGAATCTTTGGTTGAGACGGGGGAAAATGTCTCATTGTAGTCGATTCCTTCCCTTTGTGTGAAGCCCTTCGCTACTAGCCTTGCTTTGTGTTTGTCAAGGTTGCCTTGTGAGTCTCGTTTTGTCTTGAACACCCACTTGCAACCAATAATTTTTGTTGTCCCAGGTGGCTGTGGAACAAGACTCCAGACATTGTTTTTCTCCATAGACTCCAGTTCTTCATGCATGGCTTGTTTCCATAACGTTGATCGTGCACTTGATATGGCTTGATTGTAGGTCAAGGGATCATCCTCATCACCTATAGTGTGTTCTGCCTCATTTAGGTACACGAAATCAGGCAATAATGCTGCTTTTCGTACCCGCTGTGATTTTCGAACATTTAATTCCAAGATTGTAGTGCCTGGAGCATTTACCTAATCTTCTCCAGAGGTTTGTATTGGTGCATGTACTTCGTTTTCTTGAGCCTCTGCATGGGTCATGTGGTCCTCATTTACTATCTCATCTTCATGAGATATAGGTAAACCGTTATGAAGAGAATGTGACTGCATGGGAATATTGAGGGTGGTTGCTTGCGGATCAGTTAACTCACTGTCAAGTGGGATTTCTTCGAAAACTGGGGATGAAGCTGCTGATTTACTGAAGTCAGTCTCATCCTCTTCTTCAAGAAATCTTGCATTATGTGTTTCCATGACCCTCGAGTGACTGTTAGGGCAATAGAACTTATACCCTTTAGACTTCTCAGAATACCCAATGAACTTGCAACTGATGGTTCTTGGATCAAGTTTCTTCTCTGTTGGATTATAAAACCTGGCCTCGGCATTGCAACCCCATACATGGAAGTGGTTAAAGCTCGGTTTCCTTCCAGTCCAAGCTTCGAACGGAATCTTGACCACGGACTTGCTTGGTACCCGATTCAATATATAGTTTGCAGTTTTCAGCGCTTCTCCCCAAAGAAACATTGGAAGCTTTGAATGTGTAAACATAGATCTGATCATGTCTTTTAGGGTTCGATTTCTTCGTTCAGCAACTCCATTTTGCTGCGGAGTCCCAGGTGTAGTGTACTGAGCCACGATGCCATTTTGTTCAAGATAAGTTGCAAAAGGTCCTTTGTGCTGTCCTGCCTCAGTGAACCTGCCAAAATACTCACCACCTCTATCGGATCTTACAATCTTAATGTGTTTGTCCAGTTGTTTTTCAACTTCCAAATGAAAAGTTTTAAAACATTGCAAGGCTTCAGATTTTTCAGAAATAAGGAAAATATATGCAAAACGTGAAAAATCATCAATGAAGGTTATGAAATATGATTTTCCACAGATGGTTTTAATTGGGAAAGGTCCACAAATGTCAGTGTGTATGATTTCTAATAGACATTGGCTACGGTTTGACCCTATTTTCCTAGTATTAGTGAGCTTTCCCTTAAAACAGTTAACACACTCTTTAAAGTTACTGAAATCAAGTTGTGGCAACAAGTCTTGTTTTGTAAGTGTGATGATCCTTTCCTTAGAGATGTGCCCCAACCTTTTGTGCCAAAGCATTGAGGTTTTTGCATGAGAGAGCACTTGTTTAGAACCAACACTTTGAACATTAAAACATTCAATCTCATAAGTACAATTCATTTGCCACATATCAACTTTGAGATTAGCTTCACCAAGCAATTTATTCGAGTTATTTGAATGGAAAAACTTTACACTTTGACTGTCACCCACAAATGTAAAGCCGGACTTAACTAACTTAGATGCAGAAATTAAATTCCTTCGCATGGAAGGTACATAAAGTACTGGACTTAATTCTAAAATAAAGCTAGAGGAAAGAACTAATTTGACACTTCCTATGGATTCGACAGCAACTTTGCTCCCATTCCCCACATAGACATTGTAGACTTCATTGTTTATCACCCTTGTTTTTGAGAAGCCCTGCAAGGAATTGGTTATGTGAATAGAACAACCCGTGTCAAACCACCAACTATTAGGAGGAATATAAACTAGATTGGACTCAACACACACAAAAACATTTATTTCATTACCTTTCTTAACAAGCCAATTCTTGAAGCCATTGCAATTCTTTCTTAAGTGACCTGTTTCTTTGCAAAAATAACACTCCTTTTCTTTCTCAGTTTCGACATTAGCAGTTTTAATTTTATGAGATCCTTTAGAGATGATGTTAGTATTTTTAAATGAAGAAGAAATTTCTTTCTTCTTCTTCTTACCAGCAGCCACGGTTGAACCTTGAGTGAAGTCCCTTTTGCGTTTTTCTCCTTGTACAAAATTCACATCCACTGATTTGTCACTCCTGAGCCGATCTTCTTCTTGTGCACACATAGTGATCAGTTCATCAATGCCCCATTTAACCTTCTGAGTGTTATATGAAACTTTGAGCTGCCCATATTTTGAAGGCAGGGAGTTCAAAGCCATATGAACTAGGAACTGATCAGTCATGGGTACTTCAAGGTCTTTCAACTTTTGAGCAAGATCAACCATCTTCAGAATGTGTTCCCTGACACTTCCCTCACCATCAAATTTCATTGAAGTAATTTGAGTTAGAAAAGTCCCAGTTTCTGCCTTGTCAGACTCTTTAAACTTTTCCCCAACTGCAGCCAAGAAGTCTTTTGCATTATCTTGTTTTGGAACACCTCCTTTAACTGATGGAGCCATTGCTTTCCTCATAATCATCAGTGACATCCGATTTGTTCTCTCCCACTTCTCAACCTTTGCTTTATGATCTGCTGTGCTCTCTGCAGTGATAGCTGCAGGTTTTTCCTCTCTTAATGCCAAATCGAGATCCATAAGCCCAAGGACCATTTCAACATCCTCTTTCCACTTCTTGTAGTTAGAACCGGTCAAGGTCTCAATATTGTTGAAATTGAGGGATGTCATGTGAGGAGCTGGAAAAACCAAACATTAATTTTAACAGTTGTTAGTCATCTAAGTGTTAATAAACAGACGGAAAATGATACTTAATCTTTTTCCTGACACATAATCGTATAAGCACAGCATCATCTTTGGACAGAAGCCATTTATACTAGATTTGCATAGCCAAAATATTGAATACAAGGGCAGTTTACACAGCTTCAACACTTTTGAGCAGATGAAGAATGTAATCTTGTCAATTCAATACTTCACTATACATTGATTCAATTGTTTAACTTGAATAAATAAACACTTTTGAGCAGATTATTATTCACTTAATACAGATGAATCACATTTTTGACTCTTTAGACAACAAGCCAAAATCAACAAACTAAACACTTTTGAGCAGATTAGATGTTGAGATCCTTGTTTACGATTCAAATCTTATTTGTCCGTTTGGTTTTGATAAATAGAATGTGAATCCAAAAGTTCTTCTTGGTTGAGTATTCCAGTATCGTAACCATTTTTAGATGATCTTCTCTGCACAAGATAGCAAACACAACTGGAGGTATCCACAGCAATAGTTGATTACATATAGTGGCCATGCAAACAATTGTCAGTATGCAGCGGAAGCATTTAATGACACAAGATCAAAACATATTTGCATGTATTTATATCGAGAGTTAACCATATATTGATTAAGGAACCCTAGCCATGTTGGGTAGGCTCTGATACCACATGTAAGCAGTAATATAAAGAATCAAACTGCAACTGCCTAGCAAACCAACACGACACTAGGATTACCATAAACATATACGCATCAGCAACTGAAAGACCATCCGTGCAGTGCAAGAAATCAACTTACCTGGAGGTATCGCCATTCTGAGATCAACAGATGAAGTCTTCTACTTCCAACACTCGTTAATGCTCCTCTCTAAGTGAATAGGGTTTTAGATCTTTTTGGAAGCCTTAGTGTGGAAGCAGGGACCTCAACTATTTATACAATCATTCATCGATAGAAATCTATTCAGTCCAGCCTATTAACAGAAGGAGTGTTGATCTCTATCTCTAAGAGTTTTAGTCCCATCATGACTTGATATACTAGTGTATATCAGATAAGGATCGAAACTAGGACAGCTGCAATACATGTAACTCCATGACTCTTATCGCATTAGGGCTCTCAAACTTCCCGTGTTTCACATAACCAGTATAACCAGTTATGCGCCACACAAGTAGTTCAGTTGTGATCTCATTGTCATTCAAACAAGGTTTTACAGGCAGCACCCCGTGCTTGACTGCTTAGTTGCCTCATGAACTCAGAAGACTGCATTGAGAGGGTGAGACTGATATTAATTAGCATAATCTCAAGAGATTAGTGCATTTAATATTGCCGACAATGCAGATAACTGAAAGAGTACTGGTGGCCTAATTGCTCTCGGTTGTGCTTATAAATATAAGAATTTTGTATATGCAAGTTCATGAACCACAGAAGATGGGCAAAGCATACTATATACGATATAGTGCATGCCAACAGAAAGCCAAATGCCTTTTTGCTACCACTTTGGCGCGCACATGATTAAATTATGCTTGCAAAAATTTTTAACAATCAAATTAAGCTTAGCATGCATTTTGACCAACTTGAAAATAAAAATTATTATTCACTTGATCATAGTGATTTTTCTAAGTAGGGTAGTGCTATCCACACACCTTTGTTTTTAATTCTTACACACTTTTCTTAAATTTCGGTCGTCGGATTGAATGAATTAAAAAGATCATTGACAAAAGATTAATAAGGACTTGTGGGAGGTAATAATGAGTATGTGAATAACACTATCCTTCTAAGTAAATGGTGTGTAAATTAGAATTGAAAGCATCTTTATCCCTGTTGATATGTTGGTGAAACATGCAACTCACAGAGTGCCATATACGTCCGAGGGCACACATTGCCAATTTGTCTCTTCTCTTTCCCCTATTTCCTCCAATGGATGCAAAAGACAAACATGTTAGAGACTACTAGCAACTTAACGAAATAAAACATTGATTGGTTGAGCACCAAATTTATTCAAACTTCATTACCATTATTGGTACATATTTATTTTACGTGACCTAATTTTTACACTAATGATTATTTGGGTGGCGTGCATCTCGATACAAGACTTATAAGTCATGGATGCATAACAACAATCTACAATATAAAAGAATTCGTGCACAAGCTATTAATAGTACTGATATCTTTAAAAGATAAAACTCAATACCAAGGTAGGATTAAAATACGCCTAATGAACCCAATATTTGGACTTGGGTGATTGAGCACAATATCAGTCCTAAATATTCGACTCACGCCGTTGCACAACAATTTGGGTACGTAGCCTCTTGCCTGGACTTGAACTCAGATATCTTGGGTGAGAGCTGAGTATCCTTTCTTGTCATATATATTAAGTTAATTACTTCAAAAAGCAAGGCGATTGGATAGCAAGAGTAACAAATGCATGTTCATTCATACTCCACTTATCTAATTTATCAACAAGCAGAGGTCACAAAGTATATTTATGGTGTGGCGAATTAGGAATAGGAATCGTAGCTCTGGGAATCACTCAACTAGGCAAGAGACTTGAACTCTCTCAGTCAGACAATAGAACGAACAAAGTATTTGCGGAAAGTCCATTTAGTACAATACTTACAAGGTAATAGGCACTCTATTGCTTAGTACTATAAACTATAAAGATTTTAACACATTCTGTGCTGCATTTCGCATCAGTAATATTAACACAGTCACAATTAATTGCTTAAATCTTAAAAATGAATTGCTTGTAGTTAAGGAATATCCATAAATATCTTTGTAGTGCAGGGAACTACATTTGTGCTGCAAAAGAAAGCCGAACGTAGGCAAAGATTGCTGTCAACTATCTCCACAGACCACTGGCACTGGAGTTAAACTTAAAGAGGTGATGTTTCCAATTCAATTTTCTCAAATTGCATGCCTAAGAAAATTTTGCCTTGTCGACGTAGTCTCCTGCAACCCTGTTTCTTCTATCACAGGCAATCGATGAGTTTATCTCGTTAAATCAGAATATGGGTGATCCGCAACTCCAAGACGGAGAGTGGGAAATGACATGGAGTTCACAGGTAATCTCATGCTTATAAATTGGCCAGTGTGTTTTTTTGTTGCTTTTTACCGACATCCTAGTGGCGTGGGAAGTGGAAAAGGTACTGAGAGACTTAATTTGGTGTGAACTAAACCACTTAGAATTTTTTTTGCATACAATTTTCACACGCCTGTCATATGTGGCAGGAAGAGACAGATGGTTAGAGAATGCAGCCAATGGTGTTACGGGAAAGCAAGCAAGTGAGAATTCTTCAATTCTCTTTACTCTTTTCTTATTCTCAAAAAAAATTAATGCTGTGATTATAGATTGTCAAGAAAGATGGAGAAATAAAGTTTGTGGTTGACATCTTACTTGGACTCAAATTCAGCATAACTGGCACATTCGTGTAAGTTTCTCATTACTTGGAATTAATGGTAGTACTGCTGTATTGTGAATTACTGGTTTTTACATTCTCCATCACAATGACAGGAAAACCGGCAGCAGAACATACGATCTTACAATGGATGATGCGGCCATCATCGATGGTCAGTTTGGGTATCCTGTAGAGCTGGAGAGCAAGTTCGAACTTGGGATACTGTAAGAAATCTCATTTTCATGTATTTTTTTTCTTCGAGGTTTTGATTAGCTGGAAGTCTTGTTTTTTTTTTTTTAAGCTTCTAAAAGATGCTAGCGCTAGGCGCTAGTCGGGTGGCTGGCTGGGGCCTATGCGGATTTAAGTAAATCTATTATATTTCGTATGAATAAGTGTCTGTTTATATTTTAAATATATATAATTTCATCATAAACTACAGAATAGAATGACATATATATTATTAAGTATTGGAACATAATGAAAACATGGGGAATAAGGATATAATATGTGTTCATTTAAGTATGCAACAAGTCTCTTACAATTTATGGAAAAAAATAAAATGCAAAATGAAAGTTATCTATTTTTTGTTTAAGTGAGTCATGATCTGGGCGGGTCTGGGCGAGTTAGGCGGTCTAGGCAGATGCCTCAACAGGTCTAGACGCCCTTTCTTAATTTATAAACGCCTATGCATTAATTGGGACGGTGACCAACCGCCTAGCGCCTAGGCGGGGCTTAGCTGGAGCTAAACAGAGATTTTTAGAACAGTGTTTTTTTTATGCATAATCTACTCACACTGTATGCTGCAGGTATAGCGATGACAAGATGAGGATTGCTCGGGGGTATAGGAAAATTGTTTTCGTGTATTTAAGCACAGATGGTGTCGAACAGAAGTAAGATGGTCTAACCGAACAGACAGAGGATCTAAGTTTCAAGTGATGCAAATTTGCTTCTGGTGGCTCCATATGTTGGTAAATATGAAAGCACAGCCAAATTATTTTGATTGTAACTCGGGGAAAAATTACACACATATTAGCATAGTCTTGACATGTATTTCTTGGCTATTTCTTGCCTTTGTAAGATCATATGTAATTATGAATTAATTGTATCCCAGATTTATGTTCTACTCTTTACGAAGAATTCATTCATGTCACAGTGAAAATTTTTATGAGGAATGATTTTTGCACACTTAATCTTCTCATTCTACACTTTATTTTTATTGATTCTGATTCGATTTATGCAATCCATACACACTAACCATCATGATTTTTAAGCGATTTTGCAAATTTGTATAAAAGGTTATCATAAAAACTACTTGCTTACACCCTCATCACACCATAACGATTTGAAAATTCAAGACAGACTTTTTTTCTTGATATTCTTGAGTTTGGAGTCCCATTTCTATATTGTTTTCGCCCCCCAAAAAACTTTCTCCATTTATTTTTCAGTTTTCGGTTTAAATATTATATTAAAATATACTCGTTTCTCAATAAATGGTAAAACTGCTTCCAAATACTTTAAAAAGTTTTTCTTAATTATGATAGAAAATATTTCGCAAAAACAAAAAGTTGCATTTTTCTCAGAAAATGTGGACTACCATCACAATTTTTAGGCGATTTTGCAGATTTGTATAGAAGTTGCCATAAATGTGACATCCCACATCGTTCAGGGGAGTGATCCTTATATGTATATTCCCATCCCTACCTAGCACGAGGCCTTTTGGGAGCTCACTGGCTTCGGGTTCCACGGGAACTCCGAAGTTAAGCGAGTAGCGCGCGAGAGCAATCCCATGATGGGTGACCCACTGGGAAGTTGCTCGTGAGTTCCCAAAAACAAAACCGTGAGGGAATGGGTAAGCCCAAAGCGG